ATTTGTTGTAGTCGTAGTTTTTAAATTTAAGTTGTTGTAGTATTTAAATTTAAATAATAAATTATGTTTGGCCCTTTGGCCCCCTCGGTTGGAGATAGTTTTTTATCACATGACTATATTTGGCCTATGACCCTCTGGCCCCTCGGTTGGAGATGGTAAGAAATGTGGTAATGCACTGTTCATTAAAATATTAATTTCTTGGAGGGCTATAGGGCTAAAACGAGCCATCTAGCCCTCATTCGGTTGGAGATGGCCTTAGATTGATTCTTTCAGCTCTGGTGCTTTCAAATGTTCCATTCATTTGCTTGTTTGGCCGTGCTTTCGAGATTCTAGAAGAAGTTAAGGTTTTACCGTAAAATAAATTCAGAATAAGAGGTATGGTCTATCTCTTTATAAGTCATTGCAAAGTTTGATCTTTCTCTATCGTGTGACTTTACCTTTCACATCCTCATAGATTTCCCTTCATGCTTCATGCTTGTTTCAAGAAGCACCTCTGCTTAAAGGGTTTTAGTTCTAAGACCATTGTCAAATAGTTTTTAATTGGGTATAATACAACTACTGCATTATGCATAAGTTAGTACGCAAATGATATAAGAAAAGTAAATTAGTATCGAACTCGTTATTAAAAAGAGTCTAATTTAAGACTTATCTATCATTAAAAAGATTCTAACCTAAGACTTATTGAACTCGCCAATAAGTTTAGTATCGAACTTGCCATTAAAAAGTTTTTGGAGGCTTTTGTCATGTTTTGTTTTTGGTCATTATGTGTTTTTTCGTTCCCCTGAAATAGTGTGAAAATAGATAGATTCCGGATGAAAATCGAACATTTTTGTGACTTGTGAGGTTTAATGACAAATACATACAAAGACAGTCTTGGGTTTTATTTTTGGTCAGAATGTGTTTTTTCCTTCCCCAAAATAGTGTGAAAATAGAAAGATTCCGGATGAAAAATAAACATTTTTGTGACTTGTGATGTTTAATGACAATTACATACAAAGACAGTCTTGGCGTGAAATGCAAATAAAACAGATTTTGTAAGTTTGGATCCACTGGATGTGTCTTAGAAATCGATGGGGATTATAAGCTTCCACGTCTTTACATGCCAAACCATACGACCGCATAAAACATAATTAACATTTTCTTCTTATGTTATTGCTTAGTATATATGTTGAAATATTCCACATCGATCGTATTTTTTAGAAAATAAAAGTTTATATACGTTGAAATACCAATGCTTTTTGTGATAAAACCATTACATGATGAATTGTGCATGTGGTAATTACCAAGTAAGGAATAATATCAGTGTTGTTGGTAGTGGACCTTTGACCCGTCTCTCTAATAATTCTACAATATATGCATGTCACAAAAGCAATATCATGAAGGTTTGAGAGGAACGAATTAGCGGCTCACTAATAACTACACTCACACGCTCGCGCGCACACACACATATATATTGTCTCTCAATCTTCATTTTATCACGTACACAATACGACATAGGGTGAGGGTTTTATCATATAAAGAAAAGTGTAAATAAAAGTGAAACTACATAATATAAGTCTATCAGTGTATCTTCAATAGAATCACAAATCCATTAACACCAAACCGGTTTGACCAGGTCTAATTTATCATTTCTTTTTTTTCTTTTTTTTTTTGAACAAAGGATATTATTTACACTAAGGGAGAGATGGTGAGTTTATTCTCACAATGAAGAGTTTATTCTCACAATGAACTAGTCATAATTTGGTTCAAATTCGCCTTTGGCGATAATTGAACTTAAGACCTTTTACTTACTAGTGAAGAGAAATATCATCAGACCGTAGTACTAAGTGGCCTAATTTATCATTTCTTGATTGCAAGGATGTTCAAGTAATTCTACGAACATGTGGAATTTGTTCCCTACAATTTGAAATTTGATATACATTTTATATACGAGAGATAATGACCGTTTTAATGAAGAGAAAATATCAGAAAGTCAAAAAAAAAAAAATTTAGGCAAAAAAGTCAAATTAATTTGTAGAATGAGAAAGACTTGATATGTCATCTCTAAAACCTTCAATCTTAAAAATCCTAATACTAAACAAATTTAAACAAAATTAGATAAAAATGTAATAGGGTATTATGACTAATATGTACTAACTTTGCACACCGTTTGAAAAAAAAAAAAAAAAACTTTGCAGACCAAGTCACACAGCGACTAGTTATTATTTTTTTTTTAACAAAGATAGTATTTACAATAAGGAGGAGAGGTGGGCTTAGTCTCACAATAGGTTAGCAATAATATGGTTCAAATTCGCATTTGGCGAAAATCGAATTTAAGACCTCTCACTGACAAGTGAAGAAGAATACTACTAGACTGTAGTATTAAATGCCACTATTAAAAATGGATGAGATGAGGAAAATCGAAGTTGACAATTCAAGCCTTCTAGTGCTTGTTCCATCTCCTTCACGAAAAAAATTTCATTGTGACCGGAATATTGGTAGTACATCACGTATTTTTATAGAAGTGATAAGAAATTTTATTTTTTAAGTTATTAACTTTTTAACACACATATCCCACCATTTATATCGTGACACATGATATATCATTCTGTGTTCCGATCACGCTGAAAAATCACTCCTCCTTCATGGCAGCCCGCCCAGTCTGTCACGCTACAAGCCTACACACATGGCGCGACCTCAGTTATTTGTGTGGCTTGTTTATCAAAATTCAAAATCATGCGACTACTAATCAACCTTCTAATTGATCTCTCGTGGCATTTTTTCAATTCTCTTATTTTGGCTTCGCCATCACTCATATAGGATGCGTAATTTATGGATCATGTTGACTAACTAATAGGCATGAACTGCCAATTAAAAAGCTATAACAAATATTTTACTCATTGGACATTGGTATTGGGGTATATGCCACATAATGGGTCAGGTACTAATTACGTATTGAACTAAAAAAAATATAATACGTCATTGTCATTCATATGATTTGAATCTGAGACCTCTCAATTGAGAGAAATATTACTAAACCGTAGTACTAGTTGGTTGGTTAATCAGACTGTATGATCAATCAAGTCAACTCTTATATAACACTATTTTGTTCATTCACTTTATCATTATTATATGGCCAAAGTTTTTTCATGGTCCTTGTGGTGACACGACACTTTTAATATGACCCTCATGGTGAAAATGTTGTTAATTAAACCCTCGTAGTGAGCCTTGTTAGCAATTGAGCTCCAATCCAAACTTCCGTTAGTCTTTCGTTAAATAAACTAATGTGACTGTCACATGGAGGGGTCAAATTCATCATTTCAATCCAAATTACATTGTATGCAGTGGACATCTAGTATGACTTGGGAATTAACTAAAAATAGATTTTACAAAAAAAAAAAAAAAGAAACGCTTGAAACTAAACCTATAAAACCATGTCAATGGCTAGGAGAAGAGGTGAATGTGAAGTCTAGCCTAATTTCTTAAGTATGATTTCGTTTGGAAATCCTAATACTTTTAATAAACTATTGTTTTTTTTTTCAATGCCAACACGTCTTTGATCATGAGTTAAAGACTTAGTCTTATTTGAATTTTAATTCTTCTATCAATTTGTACCCTGCCAAAGCAGTAGCACCAGTGGTCTAGTGGTAGAATAGTACCCCGCCACGGTATAGACCCGGGTTTGATTCCCGGCTGGTGCTTTTAAAGACCCCACTTAGTGGAAAAAGACTTTGTTGTTGTTGTTGTATCAATTTGTACCAATTTGCATATATGCCTTTCAATTTTGTCTTTAATTGGTGGTGTGGTTTGATGCAGGTCATAGTCTTGCAGTACACAACCTTTCAATGCACCTTGGAAACCTCCTGGAATGACCTCTGCAATATCATTAAATGCTAAAAATCCTTGGAGACCTTCTGGAATGGCCCCAATGCACAACATGCAAAATCAACGGATGAAAAAGCACAATACCTTGCCAAAAAAAAATGATGAAGTAAAGGGAATTGATTTTGTTTTGTGAAAAACTAGATTATTTGTTTATTTTGTGGAAAACATTTTTAATGACTTTTTGTTATGATGAACCACAATATATTGTGGAAGACATACTTTTATCTTTGTTTTTGTTTTGTTTTTTGTTCTTTGTTTTTTTTTTTTTGGTTTTTGGGTTGGATATATGCTTTTGTCATTAGTGTGCAAAATACATTATGGTATGAGAAATGATGAAGTTATTTTTTCTTTCGTGAATGGTTAATGTAAATTATCTCTCCGTTGTTTCAATTTGCTTTGTACACTAGAATCAAATGCCAACTCACAAGAGAAACAAGTGTATGTCATAACTCGCCTAGAAAGAACACACGTATACGGTATACCTAAGTCATGCTAGATGTCTATGGAATAGGATGTAATTTGGATTGAAATGATGAATTTGACTCATCTACGTGATAGTCACATGAGTTTATTTAACGGAACACTAACGGTAGTTTTGGATTTGGACCTTAATTGCTAACAAGGTGAACCACGGGAGTTTAATTAATAAAATTTTCACCACAAGGGTCACATTGAAAGTTTAATTAATAAAACTTTGGCCTTATTATATTATATGAAAATGTGTCCACAACCCATTTATATAAATATGGGATTAGTGATTAGAACTGCGTGATAGTACGTTATAATCCAATTAATAAAAGTATGTCTCTCACCATCCCCTTCTTTCTCTATCCCTCATTTCTTCTATGTTTTTTTTTCTTCCTATTTTTGACATAAAAATAAAAATAAAAATAAAAAACGAAAAACAAAATAATTATTAAACGGTTGTTAGTTTTACGGATTAAAACTGAATTTGTTAGTTAGTGTAGGTCAAGGATGATACCAGTCTAAGGCCAAATAATACTTTATCTATTTGCTAGTAATTCTTTATCTATTTGTTAGTTTGCGCGTTCGTTTAACTAGTCACCGTTGAACTTAGACCCGCAATTGCTACTCATGCAAAAGATCAAACAGGTTAGGCGCGCTATAAGCCTATATAAAGCCCCCCTTGGTTCCTAAGTTTATCATCAAATCATAAGTTCAAGTTAATTAGCAACAAGCAGGCAATTAAGATATATTCAATGACGATGATGAAGAGCCAAGTAGCTTCCCTCCTCGGCCTCACCTTGGCCATCCTCTTCTTCTCAGGTATTATTATACAAACTTCTTATTAATTTCTTTTCTATTTTGTTTCGTATTAGTCTCTAATATGCATGCCTGCCGGATGCAAATAATTGAGATGGGTTAGTCCACCTTATATTGCAACAACATTAAAACTGACTGTAGGAAGTGTAAAGGAGAATAATGCATAGATGATGAGGAATACGGATACATAGAAGTGAGCCGGCCAATGCGGTGATGAGAGCATGAGATTAGATGAATCATCATCAAATTATATTTATAATAAAATTTTACTGATTAGTTATGAAAAAGATCTTAAAATTATTTCAAATCGTTTATTTATTTATTTATTTTTAATTTGATATATTTTACAATTGTATGTAAGATTTTCTGTATCAATATTCTTAGCATCTAGTTTTATGTTGAATATAAATGCAGGCGCACATGCAGCGAAAATCACTTTCACAAACAACTGCCCCAACACTGTCTGGCCAGCAACCCTAACCGGTGACCAAAAACCTCAATTATCACTCACCGGGTTTGAACTAGCATCCAAAGCTAGCCAGTCAGTGGACGCTCCATCCCCATGGTCTGGTCGCTTCTGGGCCAGAACTAGATGTTCCACAGATTCCGCTGGAAAATTCTCTTGTGAAACTGCAGACTGTGGCTCTGGCCAGGTTGCATGCAACGGCGCAGGCGGAGCTCCACCAGCAACTTTAGTAGAAATCACAATCGCAGAAAACGGGGGTCAAGATTTTTACGATGTTAGCCTTGTTGACGGCTTCAACTTGCCCATGTCCGTTGCCCCACAAGGCGGCACCGGCGAGTGCAAGGCCTCAACTTGCCCTGCGGATGTTAACGCGGCATGCCCGGCTGAGTTACAAGTGAAAGCGGCTGATGGGAGTGTCATCGGTTGCAAAAGTGCTTGCGTGGCTTTCGGTGAGCCGAAGTACTGCTGCACGCCGCCGAATGATCAGCCGGGGACATGTCCTCCCACAGAGTACTCTCAGATCTTTGAGCAGCAGTGCCCTCAAGCTTATAGCTACGCTTATGATGATAAAAACAGCACATTCACCTGCAATGGCGGACCTGACTACGTCATTACATTCTGCCCATGAGCATGTAATGAAATGGGATTTACATATAGATGATGTATCTCTCTTTACGTAGCAAGTAAAGGAGAAGAATAAATAATGTGGACATCTTGACACATTGATGATGTCAAGAATTTGTAATATGAATTACAAGATCAAATAAAGGAATATATATATGTTATTATTTTATTTCGCTCAAAGTTCTTTGTTAAAAAAGATGATATATTTTATTGTGAGGCTAAAATCATCCATTTTTAGTATAGATAATATCGTTTATTAAAAAAAAAGATATATTTCATTTATGACAAGAGTAAATACAAGATTTAATTAGGCCTGACAATTCCTGACACGACCCGATAACCCGACACGACACGAAATTAACAAGTGTTCGGGTCGACACGATAACGATTCGGGTCGTTATCGGGTAACCCGATAAGCACCTGTTAAGATAACGGGTTGATTCGGGTATACACGTGGGTAACACGATACACGATAAGCAGAATATTAATTTTATAATTTTAGAACCCTAAAAAAATATTGTAATAATTATATATATTAATTTAACAATTTTATACCCCTAAAAACTATAATAAATATCTATATATATATATATATTAAATTAACTATAATAATTATAATAATTATATATACTATAATAATTATACCCCAAAATATTAACTATCTATAATAATTATATATATTAATTTAACAATTTTATACCCCTAAAAACTATAATAAATATATATATATATATTAAATTAACTATAATAATTATAATAATTATATATACTATAATAATTATACCCCAAAATATTAACTATCTATAATAATTATATATATATATATATATTAAATTTTGAATTATAAAAACTATAATAATTATTAATTAATATGTATGCATCCATTGATTTGAATTTTGATTCCATAATCGATCCATTCCATTCCCTGCTGCAGTGCCGCCCTTTTTGAAGAAAAAGGGAGGGAAAATGAAAATGATAAGAAAAGTTGAAAAGGAAACAAAAAAGAGAGGGAATTAGGGAAAGATGGATGGATAGGGTGGAGGGAAAAGTGAAAATTATATGAAAAGTTGAAAAGGAAACAAAAAAGAGAGGGAAAAAAGAAAATTAATAGAAGTGCAGTGGTGAGAATTTTTTTTTTTAAGTTATTAACTTTTTATCGCACATGATATATCCCACTATTTTTATAATGACACGTGATGTACTACTCTGTGTACCGGTCAATTATACATACAAAATAAATAGATTTAAATCTACTTAATATATATATATATATATATATATATGTATACATACACCATTGAACTTGATGGGATACGAATTCTCCGAAACAAATTTCAACGATCACAACCGTCAAACTTGTTTGTATATGCTTCGAGATCACATCACCAAAAAATCACAAAAAACAAACATTCAGAGATTAAGTAACGGGACAAATCTTTTCGACGGTTATAAACGAAAAATCACGATTTATCGGTTATTTTAACTCCGATTTTGATGATTTTTTACAGCTACACTCCTTGACCCTATATGAATACAATGAATGAATTCGATCTTCAATTTAAAATATTTACACAAGTGGATACCACAAAATCTTATGTTATACTTAATGAAAGTAGAAATAAACTCTAAGTGTTAGTCAATCTATTGTTTTGATGGGTGATACGAATTCTCCGAAACTAATTTCAACGATTCCAATCGTCAAACTTGTTTGTATATGCTTCGAGATCACATCAGCAAAAAATCACAAAAAACAAACGTTTAGAGATCAAGTAACGAGACAAAACTTTTCGACGGTTATAAACGAAAAATCATGATTTAACGGTTATTTTAACTCCGATTTTGATGATTTTTTACAACTACACTCCTTGACCCTATATGAATACAAAGAATGAATTCGATCTTCAATTTAAAATATTTACACAAGTAGATAACACAAAATCTTATGTTATACTTAATGAAAGTATAAATAAACTTTAAGTGTTAGTCAATCTATTGTTTTGATGGGATACAAATTCTCCGAAACTAATTTCAACGATCCCAACCGTTAAACTTGTTTGTATATGCTTCGAGATCACATAAGCAAAAAAATCACACAAAAAAAAAACATTCAGAGATCAAGTAACGGGACAAAACTTTTCGACGGTTATAAACGAAAAATCACGATTTAACGGTTATTTTAACTCCAATTTTGATGATTTTTTAGAGCTACAGTCCTTGACCATATATGAATACAAAGAATGAATTTGATCTTCAATTTAAAATATTTACACTAGTGGATGTGGATATCACAAAATCTTATGTTATATACTTAATAAAAGTATGAATCAACTATAATAATTATATATATTAATTTAACAATTTTATACCCCTAAAAACTATAGTAATTATATAATATAATTATATATATTAAATTAAATTTAAAAAATTGATGACCATTTGGATCGGCTGAGATTTAATCTTTTGAGAAAGACTTACAACCTTGAAAACAAAAACTCTTTCATTTTGCATATCCTTGCACATTTAATATTGGGTAAATTACATAGTAGCCCCTCAGGTTTGAGCTCTATTGCAATCTCATACAACATCTTTAAAACATTTCACTTTCATACCTCAAGTACTATTTTATTTCAATTTCATACAACCGTTAGATTTTCCATCCATGGATCTGTTAAATGCTGACGTGGCTGCCACATATATGACACGTGGCTGCCAAATGTCTGCCACGTGGCAAATAAAATAATTTTTTAATTTAAAAAAAAAAAAAACATATCTGCCACTTTTTTTTTTGGGTAAATTACATAGTAACCCATCAGGTTTGAGGTCTATTGCAACCCCATACAACAACTTTAAAACATTTCACTTTCATACCTCACGTACTATTTTATTTCAATATAATACATCCGTTACATTTTCCATCCATTGATCCGTTAAGTGCTGACGTGGCTGCCACATTTGTCCCACGTGGCTGCCAAATGTGTGCCACGTGGCAAAATATTTTTTTTAATTTTTTTTTTAGAAAACTTGAATTTTCTCATTTATTAAAAAAAAAAAAACTTAAACCTATCCCATCTCCCCGCAACCCCCTCCAAAACCCAGATCTCTTTTCCCCACCCTACAACCCAGATTCGTTCAGTTTTCCCCCACCCCCACCCCCACCCACCCACCCAACCCACAGAGGCCTTACGCCTGCCTTCCAGACTCACCTCAGTCAGAACCCACCACCCTCCTTCGGCCCCCCTTCCCGTTCGCGCTCGACGCGCCTCATCCTCCCCTCGCCCCCTCCCCCCCCCCGTGCGCTCGCGACCCTCCTCACCCAGAACCCGACCCCTACCGCTACCCCCTTTATCCCTTCACCCACTATTTTCTCCTCTCTGCAACTCGAACCATGCTTATCGATTAACTCTGACAATGAGGTATGTATTTAATTTTGTCCTTTCAAATTTTGAATTTTTTCTATGCTTGGTTGGTGGTGGTCTGGAAATGGAATTAGGTTTGCAGATGAGAGAAGGGAGAAAGGGGGTGGGGTGAATAGAAGAAAAGGATCGGGGAACGTGGCGGTGGGGTGGGGGTTTGCTGGGTTTTTTTATGAGAGGAAAGGTGAAGAGAATGGAGGAGAAGGAGGTTGGGGGGGGGGGGAAGGGTGAGGTTTCTGGGTTTGTTTGCGGGGGTGGGGAGTTGCGGGAGGTGGGTTTCAGTTTAGTTTAGTTTAGTTTTTTTTAAGATTCAGGTGGTTTTAAAAAAAATTAAAAAATTATTTTTTATGCCACGTGGCACACATTTGGCAGCCATGTGGCACAAATGTGGCAGCCACGTCAGCATTTAACGGATTAATGGATGGAAAATCTAACGGATGTATTATATTGAAATAAAATAGTACGTGAGGAATAAAAGTGAAATGTTTTAAAGTTGTTGTATGGGGTTGCAATAGACCTCAAACCTAAGGGGTTACTATGTAATTTACCCAAAAAAAAAAAAGTGGCAGATATGTTTTTTTTTTAAAAAAAATTAAAAATTATTTTTATTTGCCACGTGGCAGACATTTGGCAGCCACGTGTCATATATGTGGCAACCACGTCAGCATTTAACAGATCCATGGATGAAAAATCTAACGGTTGTATGAAATTGAAATAAAATAGTACTTGAGGTATGAAAGTGAAATGTTTTAAAGATGTTGTATGAGATTGCAATAGAGCTCAAACCTGAGGGGCTACTATGTAATTTACCCTTTAATATTTATAATAGATTAGTAGTGTATGTATTATTTTTTTATTAGGCTCTTATTTTCGAGTGTAGTTATAGTACTTACATGACAAATGTTTTAATGTTTTGAAGTAATATTTATATGGTAATATGTGGTATGTGCAAATTTAAAAAAAAAAATATTTTTCTTAACGGGTCATAACGGGTCGGGTCACTTGTGACACGACCTGTTAAGGATTCGTTAAGATAACGAGTGTGACACGACACGACCCGTTAAGATAACAGGTGTTACACGAAAACGACACGAACACGACAGACACGACCCGTTTGCCAAGCCTAGATTTAATACAAACGAAGAATATGAATCCAATATATATAAGAGGAAGCTTGCAAACAAAAATATGAAATTATAACATAATAAACCCAAGTTGCAAAAATTGAAAGAAACGAAGGTTCCTTGAAGCCAATGAATCTAAAGAACTTTGAACGCGTCATCAATCACCTTGAGCCTGAATTGTAATTACCACAATCTCGTTCACCTTAATCGCCTGCGTATTAAGGAACTTGATCCTAATAGGCTTGCAATGATGAGATTGAAAAGATAACCAAATATAATAAAATACGGAACATATTCTCATATATATTTCACACAAAAACAACTAAGGGTGAAATGACAAGTATACTCTTTTTATGTTAATTAAGTTTAATTAATCACTTCATAATCATTGGTAATCAAAGTTTAAAAAAATGCTAAGCGCTACTCAGGCGGTTGGATGGGGCATAGCTCCTTGGTGGGGCCTAAACGGAGGCCGAGGCGAACTAGGCAGATTTAGTAAATTTATTACATATTGTATAAATATGTCGATTATAAATTACAAAATGAAATGACATATGTCGATTATAAAGTATAAAACATTGAAAACATGGGGCACACACATATAATGAGTGTTTATCAAAGTATTCAATAAGTCTC